TATATATATATATATATATATATATATATATATATATATATATATATATATATATATATATATATATATATATATATAAAATTCATCTGCTTCATTATGTTCTACTTTAATTCTTTACTCATGAGAAAACTTTATGAGACTTCTAACGGATACATGCTAAGGAGAGTCAATAAGATGTATAGACTTTGTTATCTTTGTATGCTATTTCTCCCATAAATTCACCACAAAAACGGATTCTGAACGAATGAAGCTATCAATCAACAAACTGAAACACATTTGTAACCTTTGTTTTACTAAATGATCATTGGTGAAGTGGCATTTAAGAAACTCACGTGCAAACCTTTGTTTTACTAAATGATCATTGGTGAAGTGGCATTTAAGAAACTTACATGCAGGATAATTAATTTTCTGAATCGACAGCAATTGACATAACCGGTTTGCCAAACATTACACTTTCAATAAACTTTTGGTTTACTATTACATTTATCTCCATTTTCTAATCCTTGTGTAGTACAATACAATTGTACCTTGGGTAATATTTCTAATTGAAGTTATTCACCAATTTCCTTTACTTATTGTGCCTTGAGTAATATTTCTAATTGAAGCTATTCAGCATTTTCCTTTACTTATTGTCTCAACATTATCAAATCTAAATCCCATGTTTTATTTTATAATGACTCTTAAGTCTATTTCCAGGTGAACATATTTCTGGATGTTCCACTTAGTAGTGATGTGGGATTCTCTAATTCTCCCCCTCGAGATAATGAATTTGAGATTCATCTATCTCGGGTTGAACCCCACATTAGAATCATTAACATACCCGACTTAAGTCATGTATTATATCTTAGATTCTTTTCAACATTTTGAGACTTGGGAAAGTATAACACATTAATGCACTACAAAAAAGTTGCTATTCATAGCACATTGTTATAGCTCGTTTCACTGAACTGCTGTCGTTGATTACCAATTTTTTTTTACTTATAGAACAGCGTTAGATAAATGCTATGATAGAGTTTTATTAAGCGGGAACCTAAAATTAGCTTTTCTGCCAAACACTTAGTGAAAATTATAGTTCTAATTTTTTTCCCTCACTCTAATCGGGTTCCCTCTCATCTCTCTCATTTTTCCCTCTTTCTCAAATGTACCCTAAATGAAATCTCCATCGATTCTCTCTCTCTCGAAACAAATCTGGAAACCTATCAACTCGAAACCAATCTCCATCAAGCTCCATCTCCAAAACCCTAAGCGTAATCCGCCGCCATTCCCATCTCGAAACCAATCTCCATCCTCGCGAACCATCGTCGCCGCTTCTCCCAGCCGCCACAGATCTTCGATTCAACTCCGGTTCTACATCTCGAAGGTATTGGAATCCCTAATTTTGACATCTCTATCAATGTTTGAGCTCAAATCGATTTACATTATTAGTTTTAATAGATTGTTTTATTATTATTATTTTCTTGTTTTGATTTCTCTGTTGCTTTGTGTTCTTGGTTGGTTTGAGTTCTTGTTTGGTATCGTTATATTGTCTAAATGATTTTGATTTTTTATTTATCTGAAGCCAACTTATGTGTTATTTGTTCCGATTCTGAGGACAACTTGACAAGTTCTTTATGTTACGAAAATATTTCAACTTAGGTTTGAACACAGTATGATGGACAAAGCTTTGGTACATCTAAACAGGTACTGATCTTAAGCATATATATGTTATGTTTCATTTTGGTGTTTAGAGGCTTAACTTGTTTCTTTTGTTTTTGTTTTGTTTGTTAATGGAAGAGTTGACCCTGGATACGAGAGAGGGGCTTCACAGTTTGTCCGGGATGTGGCTTCATCTATGGGAGGGATTGATATGATTATATGCCCATGCATAGACTTCCGTAACATAGATCGTCATGCAGCAAGTGTGGTACTTGATCATCTTGTTACTAGGGGTATGGAGGAGGGTTATAAGATGAGGGCTGATTGGTATCTACATGGTGAATTGAAAGCAGAGGTTGCAGATGAAAACAAAGTGAGTGAATGGAACGATGAGATCTTTGGGTTGTTCAGAGCTGCTCAGTGTTTTGATGAAGAGTTAGCTGATAGTGGGGGTTTAACTGAGATGGCAGAGGGAGACGACAAGAAAGAGGATGAGTTCTTGGCGAAGCTAGATGACGCTGAAACACCATTGTATCCGAGCTGTGCAAGCCATAGCAAGTTGTCTGCAATTGTGTCATTGTTCAGACTGAAGACTCAGAATGGATGGTCAGACAAGAGTTTCAATGATCTGCTAGAGACATTGCCGGACATGTTACCAGAAGAAAACGTCTTGCACACATCACTCTACGACGTGAAGAAGTTTCTCAAGTCATTTGACATGGGTTACGAGAAGATCCATGCTTGTGTTAATGACTGCATCCTTTATAGAAAGAGGTTCACGAAGCTCGACAAGTGTCCTAAATGCAAAGCTTCGAGATGGAAGACTAATAAGCACACTGGTGAGAAAAAGAAAGGCGTTCCACAGAAAGTCTTACGGTACTTTCCTGTAATACCACGACTGAAGCGAATGTTCTGGTCTGAGGAAATGGCCAAGGAATTAAGATGGCACTTTACCAACAAAAGCAGTGATGGAAAGCTGCGTCATCCTGTTGATTCAGTGACATGGGAGCATATGAATGCGAAATACCCTACATTTGCAGCTGAAGCGAGGAACCTGAGGCTTGGACTTTCAACGGATGGCTTCAATCCATTCAACATGAAGAACTCGATGTACAGTTGCTGGCCGGTCTTGTTAGTTAACTACAACCTAGCACCTGACTTATGTATGAAGAAGGAGAACATTATGCTTTCTTTGTTGATTCCTGGTCCACACCAGCCTGGTAATAGCATAGATGTGTATTTAGAACCCCTAATAGACGATCTGAACAGTCTGTGGAGTGTTGGAGAGGTAACATACGACGCTCTTACTCGATCCACTTTTACACTCAAGGCGATGCTGCTATGGACGATCACCGATTTTCCGGCTTATGGTAATCTTGCAGGATGCAAGGTGAAAGGGAAAATGGGGTGTCCTTTATGTGGAAAGAATACAGATAGCATGTGGCTGAAGTTCAGTAGAAAACATGTCTACATGTGCCACAGAAAGGGTCTTCCACCAAATCACAGATTTAGAGGAAAGAAGAGATGGTTTGATGGAAATGCTGAACAAGGGAGAAGGGGAAGAATACTCAATGGGCGTGACATTTCTCAAC